AGGAGGAGGAGGAGGAGGAGGAGGAGGAGGAGAAGAAGGAGAAGGGAGAAGAAGGAGAAGGAAGAAGGAGAAGGAGAAGGAGAAGGAGAAGAAGAAGAAGAAGAAGAAGCGGTATGAGCAGATAGAGAGCACACAATGGCTCATCAAACCTTTTTTCTTCCGTTTCAACTCAAGCGGTTTGTTTTCAAGTAGCCATTTTCAAACACGAAACTAGCATCCATATTAATCTTATCAAGTCATGTGGTGGCACTCCCCAAGTCGTACAACGAACTACAGATAAATTACCACCCATATGAGAAAACATCACACATTTATCCTTATCACCCTCCACAAAAATAACCCAGGAAGAACCTAAAAACGAAGTCCAGAAGTTATCCAAGAACACGGAAGCTGAAATAATTGCCTCCCCCTTGCCAAATATGGTATCCTGACGACATGTTGAATAAACATGATTTTTGCTCGAGAGTATTCATCAACATTTACATACAGAAGAATCAACCAATTCGACCAAGATATTTCAAATATGTCATCTTATGGTAGCTCTAAAATATCTGTCATAGCAAGTAGCAATGCATGAGCCTTCATACACATGACTAGAGCATGAAATACATCATCCTCATCCCACAAATATTGCACGTACTGTAGGTAATTTGATGCTGATTCTTCCTCTTAGAGATCGCCTTATGGCTCTCACTCTTGCTTCCTCCACCCCTCCCTTCCTACCGTCGGCATTTCCCTCCCAGGTCACCCACCATCCCACTCATTCCCCATCTCGCCCCTCATGCAACCTCGATGACCGCCTAGTCCATGCCTGGGACTACACGCAGTCACCTTTCACCTTGATGGCTCGACTTCCAAAATGTCATTAGGTCCTCCCTACGCTCACGAGTCTTGCCGTTGGGCCATGACCGCTGCATGGCTGGTGCCCTCACCATCAACTTCTGCATGTCGTCGCTCCCCCTCGGTGCTGTTATGGTCGCTACATTGTTGCAAGTCCACTTCGGTGGCGTCGCTATTGAGTTCATTGTCTCCCATGTCTCCAACACCACGTTTTCTTTCCTTGTTTCTTGTGATGTTGTCGCGAGGCTCATCTGTGCCTATTTTCTCATCTCCTCATACCACTACTTCTCCAAGGTCTCCATCAACCCGCTGCATCCCCTCGACATCAACTCGGCCTCCTCATCCACGTCGAGCGCTAGCTCCTCCTCCTGCTACATCATGGTCCTCGTCCATCATCGTGGACATACCTCCTTCGAGGACTTCGTTGTCCGTCTATGGCCCCGTCGCATGTGCCCCTTGGGTGTTCTTCCTATTCATTAGACTCACAACTACAAACGCTGTAACCGAACAACAACTGCATGGCCCTCAACATGACTAAATTTGCTACTTTGTATCTGATCTCTCATATTTTGACCCCTAGATCAGCATGCAAAAGAAATCCTACCTACTACCGTAGCTAATTTTTGTTGTCGGAGATGTCCACGACGTCGGTGACGGGCGCCAGGTGGAAGGGTGCGTAGGAGGGCTCCGTCTCTTCCTCCTCCTCGTCCTCATCCATATAGGCTAGCAACTCCTCCTCCTTTGCGGCGTGCTACGCCTCCATCTCTGGTACGTCTCCAATGTATCTATAATTTTTATTGTTCCATGCTGTTATATTATCAATCTTGGATGTTTTATAATCATTTTATATCTTTTTTGGTACTAACCTATTGACATAGTGCCAAGTGCCAGTTGTTGTTTTTTGCATGTTTTTTACATCGCATGTGATCACTATCAAACGGAGTCCAAACACAACAAAATGTTTTGTGGATTTTTTTGGACCAGAAGACATCCAATGGGCCGGAGAAGCGCCTCGGGGTGCTCCGAGGGGAGCACAACCCACCAGGGCGCGCCTGGGGGCCCAGGCGCGCCCTGGTGGGTTGTACCCACCTCGGGTGCCCCCTGGACCGCCTCTTTGCTCTATAAATATCCCAATATTCCAGAAACCCTAGGGGAGTCGATGAAAATCAATTCCAGCCACTGTAGAGTCCAGAACCACCAGATTCAATCTAGACACCATCACAGAGGGGTTCACCACTTTCATTGGTGTCTCTCCGATTATGCGTGAGTAGTTCTTTGTAGACCTTTGGGTCCGTAGTTAGTAGCTAGATGGCATCCTCTTTCTCGTTTGATTCTCAATACAATAGTCTCTTGGAGATCCATATGATGTAACTCTTTTGCGGTGTGTTTGTTGGGATCCGATGAACTTTGAGTTTATGATCAGATCTATCTCTTTTTATCCATGAAACGTATTTGAGTTTTTTTGATCTCTTATATGCATGATTGCTTATACCTCATATTTCTTCTCCGATATTTGGATTTTTTTGGCCAACTTGATCTATTTATCTTGCAATGGGAAGAGGTGCTTTGTAGTGGGTTCGATCTTACGGTGCTTGATCCTAGTGACAGAAGGGGAGCCGCCACGTATGTATCATTGCTACTAAGGATAAAACGATGGGGTCTATTTCTACATAAATAGATCTTGTCTACATCATGTCATAATTCTTATTGCATTACTCCGTTTTTCCATGAACTTAATACACTAGATGCATGTTGGATAGCGGTCGATGTGTGGAGTAATAGTAGTAGATGCAGGCAGGAGTCGGTCTACTAATCTTGGACGTGATGCCTATGTAGTGATCATTGCCTGGATATCATCATGATTATTTGAAGTTCTATAAATTGCCCAACAGTAATTCGTTTACCCACCGTTTGCTATTTTTCTCGAGAGAAACCACTAGTGAAACCTATGGCCCCCGGGTCTCTTTCTCATATTATTTGCTTTTGCGATCTATTTTCCTTTGATTTTATTTTCAGATCTATTAAACCAAAAATACAAAAATACCTTGCTGCAATTTATTTTATTTGGAGTTCAATCTATCAATATTTGCAACTCTCTCGCGTCTGTTTGCCAATTTGTGGCACCGTTACCCGGAAGGGGTTGACAACCCCTTTAACATGTTCGGTTGCGAGTATTTGTTATTCGTGTGCAGGTGCTGTTTACGTAGTGTTGCTTGGTTCTCCTACTGGTTCGATAACCATGGTTTCATCACTGAGGCAAATACCTACCACCATTGTGCTGCATCATCCCTTCCTCTTTGGGGAAATACTAACGTAGCTTCATATCGCATCAAAAGGAATTTCTGGAGCCGTTGCCGGGGAGGATCATCTACATCTACTAGGTTCCTAATCACAAATCTCATCTCCTCGCAATTTACATTATTTGACATTTGTCTCTTGTTTTTCTCTCCCCCACTTCACAAAAATTTGCCGTTTTATTCGCCCTCTTTTTCGTTCGCCGTTTTCTCGTTAGATTTATCCTTTGCTTGCAATCATGAGTGATTTTG